TGTGTGTGTGTGTGTGTTTGTGTGCTCAGACACTCGAGGTGGAGCTCTCACTCGTTCTCAGGCTTCGAGCTGCAGCCTCGTGTTTTTCTAAGATTTAAGACTCTGAGTAAAACGACACCGCAGCAAAGCAAAGCTCCGATTCTTCACTGCTGCAGAACATGTGACCCACGAGAGGACGACTCGCTGGGATGAAGGGATGAAGGGATGAAGGGATGAAGGGATGGAGGGATGAAGGGATGAAGGGATGAAGGTCTCTCCACCTCTTCTTCCTCCTGCAGAAACTTTATGATGCTTTATTTTTGTCAGTTTAATTCTTTTATTCGAACACGTCCCATGATGCTGTTAGTTTGTGTAGACAGCACCACCATGTGGACAGTTAGAGACATGGCTCGTCTTCGTAGACCAGAGGTCGACAGTTTGAATATATAAATATATAAATATATATAAATATTCATCTCGATGCAGTTTAATGAGTAGAATCATTTCCTGATTCTGAAGAATTTGATGTTTTTCAAATCAAGTTTTCTCCGACATTATGAAGCTGTTTCCTGATTGGTGGTCAGGGTGTGGTGGGTGTGGTCTATAGTTAAAGTCGTATAAACCAGGAGTCGTGAGTTCAAATCCCTGAACAAACACAACAGCGCCACCTAGAGCTTATTTTATCATCTGTTGAACACAGATTTATTTTGATGAGTCAGATTTAATGTCTCAGTGATTTCTCCTCATTTCATGAGAAACTCAACTTCTTCTTCAGACGTTTGAAACCTTCACTTGTTCCTGTGCTTATTCTGCCCCCTGCTGGTCAAACATGTGAACATGTGTGTGTCTGTGTGTGTGTCTGTGTGTGTGTGTGTGTCTTCAGGTATGTTTAAAGTTTAACATCTGTCTCAGAAGTTTCTCTCTGACTTTTGTCTGTTGACTCGTTTCTGACATTTAAATTCAGGACGTTAATATTTTATTAACTTTAATTGGAATTAAAAGTTTCAGCAGATAAACGATGAACAGATTTCATTATTATTTAAAGTTTTCACATGCAGAAATATTTTCCCACACTTTGTCTCTAAATGTACTTTTCAGTGTACTTGTTAGTGTACTTGTTAGTGTACTTGTCAGTGTACTTGGTGGTGTACTTGGTGGTGTACTTGTCAGTGTACTTGTTAGTGTACTTGTTAGTGTACTTGTTAGTGTACTTGTCGGTGTACTTGTTTGTGTACTTGTCAGTGTACTTGTTAGTGTACTTGTCGGTGTACTTGGTGGTGTACTTGTTAGTGTACTTGTTAGTGTACTTGTCAGTGTACTTGTCAGTGTACTTGGTGTACTTGTTGGTGTACTTGTTGGTGTACTTGTTGGTGTACTTGGTGTACTTGTTGGTGTACTTGTTAGTGTACTTGTCAGTGTACTTGTCGGTGTACTTGTTAGTGTACTTGTTGGTGTACTTGTTAGTGTACTTGTCAGTGTACTTGTCGGTGTACTTGTTAGTGTACTTGTTGGTGTACTTGTTAGTGTACTTGGTGTACTTGTCAGTGTACTTGTCGGTGTACTGGTTAGTGTACTTGGTGTACTTGT